CTGTATTCTACAATGTATGTATTTGCCTTCTTTTTGTTTAAACTGAATTATAATTATACTTATTCTAAAATTCATGCTAGTATTTGTTGTATCTATGTTATAATCAGTAATAATTGACTTAATGATTTACATGTTATATTGTTTTTATTTTAGGTTATCGAGCAGTTCCTTCAGTATGGTAAGAACTTCTTAATGTTTATAATTTGTGTGTGAACAGCATTTTTTAGCTACTATATGGGTTTTTACGGCCCTGTCGCAAAAAGGCGTATGGCCCCCATCACATGGCCATTTCCCAAAGTTTTTTTAAGAGAGCATGTAGGGCCAAAATACAGGTCATATGATAAAATACTTTCTTTGTTCTTGCATGCAAAACAACATTTTATCCATTTTATCATCCAACACCCTGACCTCCGTTAAGAATGAACAGTACCTAATCATGCATGAGACTGGAAGAAACCAGCTGTCCGGGAGAGTTGACATCCATGAACATTTGAAAATATATATTATACCTTGGTTAACAAGTTTTTTAAAGTATGGTTAAAACAGAAGAGCTGCAATCTCTGGCAAAAAAAATGAGACACCCACAATTGTCAAGTCCTGTACCCCTTACCTCTCAGCAATGCATAGCTGTCAACCCACTGACTTTTCAATTCTGGAGATTCGTACATGGACAGGAAAATTAATAATCGTAAAGCTCATGATTCAAAAAGTACCTTTTTCATAAGCGGGTAATATTTTGGGTAAACATTAATACAAGACCATATTTTTTAAACCTTTAAAGATTTCAACCTTTATCTGGGAGCCCGGGAGACGAGGCTCAAATTCTGGAGGCTCCCGGCTAATCTGGGAGGGTTGACAGCTATGCAATGTTGATTGCGGACCACAAAAAGACATGATTTCCTTGCAATATGTGAAGACACCATTCTAACAACATTGAAACAGGGGAAGGGTGACACGTTTATACTGCAAAAGACTGTTGGTTTATCAACCCTAGGTTTATATATATTTTTGAATTCATTATTTTTAAAAATAATTTTACTATGTTTGAATGCTAAAGGTCAACAAAGAGCAAGTGTTATTATTATTGTTACTGATGGCAGTTTATTTGACATGAAAGAATCAAAGGCTGAGGTACTTTACTTTATCATGGCCATTATACATAGTGATCTCAGATTATTGTGCATTTCTGCCTTTGGGCATGATATAGACAGCCAATCAAAACAAAATGATATAGTAGTCAGCCAATGAGAATACATGATGTAGTCAGCCAATGAGAATACATGATATGGTCAGCCAATGAGAATACATAATATAGCCAGCCAATCAGAATACATGATAGCTTGCAAATGAGAATACATGATACAGTCAGCCAATGAGAATACATGATACAGTCAGCCAATGAGAATACATGATACAGCCAGCCAATGAGAATACATGATACAGTCAGCCAATGAGAATATATGATGCAGTCAGCCAATGAGAATACATGATGTAGTCAGCCAATCAGAATACATMATGTAGTCAGCCAATCAGAATACATGATGAAAATGTACAGAGAATACAGTCATATGTACCTTATAATAATTTACTTGTATTTTCAGGCAGAAAGAGCAAAGTCTTTAGGTGCATCAATAGTCACTGTAGGTGTGGGATTAATTGTTAAAAGTCAGGTAATAAGTTATCAAAGAAAATGAAAAAAATAAATAAATAAATAACAGTAGCGTTCGAATTTTTGAATTTAGTTTTTTTGGTTTTTACAAACTTTTTCTCAGAAATTTTGTATGCAATGGCCAAATAGTATAAAAACCGCCACACTGGATAATAAAGGAATATAAACAACCTTAAAGAATAAATAGATCACCTACTTTTCCTTGTTTGAACATCCCAGTGGGTATTTTGCCATCCAGCATGGAGGATCTACAGCTGTAGTACCATTTGACCGTTTCATGCAATTTAAGGCCTATAATTATACTGTTGAAAATCAGTGACTGAATAATACAATGTGTGCTAGCTGTGTTTTCTGATAAAATAGCTTGAACAGATTGCAAGTAAACCACCTGAACAGTATGTCTACACAAGTAAGAACTTTGGAGCTTTACCAAGTCACATTTATAAGGTATATATATATGTAACAATACAATAGATAAAGTATATATACATAGGAGTTTAGCTCCCTTTCGTATGTTAATCGGCGATTGCACGACCAAATGACAATGTCGTCAAATAGGTTTTTATCATAACTTGTAGAATTATCGCGCGCTGATTGGTCGAGAGCCGTTGTCGATCGTAGGACAGACCGATGAAATGACAAATCGATCGCGCACGGAGCCGGCACGCGCCATAAATGATTTTGTTTTGAAAGTTTTACTTTGTTTTTGGCTTTTTTATGGTAAAAAACAAATCGAAATTGCTTTTCTATGGTCTGTACGCTTATCGACAATTCAAATGATGCCAGAAAATGATCAAAACTTGGCAGTGAAATCACTCGCTACGCTCGTGGTTCCACTTGAGTTTTGATCATTTTCTGACGTCACTTTCATTGTCGATAAGCGTACAGACCACAGAAAAGCGATTTCGATTTGTTAATTTGATGGATTACATTCCATCATTTGCTAGATCAAGAAACCCATAACGAAAAGCTGCATGTACATGTATTGAAAACAACAACAACAACAAAAACAAACAAAAAAAAGCAACAAAAACAACAGTTTCGACTCCACTATGACAGCTTTCGGRCGTGCTTTCTCGACCGGCCGTCTTTTTTAATGGCTACACATGTATTATAATTTTCATGGAATAATTGCTTTTAAATAAGTCATCATGTTAATCCCTAGATTGTTGAGAAYTCATGCATAGAGATATTATCTGTTTCTCCAAGAAAAGTTTGTGCTGGAGGTATGAATATGACTATTGAACACTATTTACTGCAGTTTTCGAAAATGCGTGACCTTGAAAGCTGACAACTAGTGACCTAATCGGCTAACGTGTTGCTATGCACGTTACCACCCAATCCAAATCCTGTGGGAAAAAGAACTTTTGTTTCTAAGAATTCAACTATGAAATGAAAATACAACAAACAATAAAACTTACTCCCGGGTGGTTTGAATTGGGTGGAAACGCTTATGGCAACGCGTTAGCCGATGATTAGGTCTATTTCTTGGTGCGTTTTTGCTTCCATTACGGTTTATGTCGTAAAAAGCAAATCGTCGCTGTTTATAAATGACAGGTGTCAATAAAATCTTACATGTTTACGTTTCGTATTTCAGCGAATTATACAGTGATATTTTCTGGATATGGTTTCACGAAGACTGATAATATCAGCAAAGTTGTATGTGTTTACCGTGGTAATGACACATATCGAACAAGTAGGTGAACATCTTGGTACCCAGTATTTACTGTTTTCCCGCTTTGCTGGAAGAAATAGTCTTCTTCACGGTTGCGTTCGCTATCTTGAAAGGTAGCCGTGTCTGTACATCAAAGCGAGACAATCGTTGAGCGTGCAATGACAGAAACCTGTGAATAATTGTCTGTAGGTGTGAAAGAAGGTTTCTATCATTGCACGCTTAACAGTCGTCTCGCTTCCTCGCTTCTTACAAAYACACGGCTACCTTTCGAGATGGCGCAGGGAACCGTGAAGAAGACTGTTGGCGCCCTTCCCTTGATGCTTTGCACGACGATAAAAGAGTGAGAGAAGCGACTAGGCTCGGGCCTGCATCATTGGGTGACCAAACAGAATAGAATACAAAAGAAAAGGCAAATTTCAAAACTGTGAAAAACTAATTGTCAAATATTTGCATCAAAACAAAATATACTGCTGGATGATGTCATTTTGTTTTCATTTGGTTGCGGCTTACGAGAATTTAGATCTTGATTTGATCATAGTTAATAATCTACTAACTATGATTTGATCTTACTCTATCTTCCGTTATTTTTTTTTTCAGTTCGAAAACCATATAAAGTCGAAGATACGCTTCTTGTTTGTCCAGGATTTGTCTCCAATGAAACAGACAGGTGACCATTGATGTCAGACAGCTTGCATTTGATATAACATTAGCAAACAAAAACAAAAAACAAAAATGGAACTGTATTCCAACAAACTGAGAGGACTGTAGTAATCTGACTAGATTTTCTAATAGCCAACTGATTTGCCTCCCTGTCAGTTTTTTTGTAAGGAATTGGGTTAGGTTGGGAGGGTGACCTCATGGAAGAGCTCTGTTTAGAGAGTGAAATATTTTCAAATTATTTTTGTAGTTTTGACTTGATTTTTGTTGTGTTGCAGAACGTTTATATTAGAAATGTCTGTCAATGAAGGCTTAACGTTTGTATCGAGTAATGTAACCTTGACAACACAGTACTGTGCACTACCCTCTACACCGACTTCACCAGCAGCGAGGGTAAGCTTAAGAACAAGTGTGTGTTGTCTCTCGTCGTAATGGCCATATTTTTATGCCTTATTTGAGCACGTAAGCGGAAACCATGTCTRTGTAATAAACACGTGCAGCGACGCCATTTTGTGCAACAAAGCATGATGGGAGTCTATCTTTTTGCTTTTTCTGTGCAGAAATAGAAGTAGTTGTGCCGTTTCTACAAAGAAATTGAAAAAAAAAATGGCTTTTAGGTATTTTTTTAAGAGGACTATATCTCCCATCGTGCTTTCTCGTAGAAAATTGACGTCGTACGCATTGCCTTTTTGAGAGTACGTCGCATTATAATATGTCCTTATGGCTTGATGACCAATAATTATGTAATAATAATCATCCTTATTGTAACATCATTATTGACGGTGTAAATCAGTATATAATTCCGAATATTATTTTCTAGATTCCAGAAGATCGCGTTAATGTTGGACTGGCTCTTTTCCTAGTAGCATTTTTCTT